TATCTCATTGTGGTTTTGATTTCCTCATGATGAATTTTCCTGATGACCAATGGTGTTGAGGATCTTTTCAAATGGTTATTGGCCATTGTATGTCTTCTTTGGAGAAATATCTATTCACATCCTTTACCCAATTTTTAATTAGGCTGCCTTTTATTATTGAGTACCAAGAGTTACTTATGTATTCTAGATACATGTCCTTGATCAGATATATGACTTGACTTTGGCCCACTCTGTCAATTGTCTTTTCTCTTTCTCGATCATATCCTTTGACATACAAAATTTGTTCATTTTGAGGAAGTCCAGTTTATTTTTCTTTCATGGCTTATGCTTTTGATTTCATATCTAAGAATCCATTATCAAATCCAAAGTTATGAAGGTTTACCCCTATGTTTTCTTCTGTGAGTGTTATAGTTTAGCTCTTATCTTTAAATATTTGATCCATTTCAAGTTAATTCTTGTGTATGCTATGAAGTAAGAGTCTAACTTCATTCTTTATCATGTGGCTATCCAGTTGTCCCAAAACTATTTGTTTAAAAGACTATACTTTCCCCCATTGGATGGTCTTTGCCCCTTGTGGAAAATTAATTGACCACAGACATATTGTTTTATTTCTGGTTATCAATTCTGTTCCATTCATATATATGTCTATCCTTATGTCAGTACCATGCTATCTTGATTACCATTGCCTTCTATTTTCTTTTTCTTTTACTTTTTTTTTTATTGAGACTGAGTCTCTGTTGCCTAGGCTGGAGTCCAATGTGCCATCTTGGCTTACTGCAACCTCTGCCTCCTGGGTTCAAGCGATTCTCCTGCCTCAGCCTCCCAAGTAGCTGGGACTATGGTTGGCCACCACCACACCTGGCTAATTTTTGTATTTTCAGTGGAGACAGGGTTTCACCATGTTATCCATGCTGGTCTCGAACTCCTGACCTCAAGTGATCCACTCACCTCGGCCTCCCCAAGTGCCGGGATTACAGGCATGAGCCACTGCATCTGGCCTCCATTGCTTTCTAGTGAGCTTTGAAATCAGGAAGTGTTAGTCCCTCAATTTTATTCTTGTTTTTCAAGATTGTTTTGGTTATTCTGGGTCCCTTGAATTTCCATATGAGTTTGAAGATCAACTGTCAGTTTCCAAAAAAAAATTAACTGAGCTGGGACTCTGATAGGGGTTGTGTTGAATCTATAGATAATGTTGGGGAGTGTTATCTTAACAGTGAGAAATCATCAAATCCATGAACATGGGATATGTTTCCATTTTGTTACAGCTTGTTTATTTCAATTTCACTTACATAACTTATACACTAAAAACTATAAACTTATATACACATCCTTCCTTCCTTCCTTTCTCTCTCTCTCCTTTTTCTTTTCTTTCCCTTTTCTTTTTTCTTTCTTCCTTCCTTCCTTCATTTCTCTCTCTCTCTCTCTCTCTCTCTCTCTCTCTCTCTCTCTTTCTTTCTTTCTTTCTTTCAAGGCAGAGTCTCACTCTGTTACTGATTGGAGTGCAGTGGTGCAATCTCAGCTCACTGCAACCTCTGCCTCCTGGGTTCAAGCGATTCTCATGCCCCAGCCTCCCAAGTAGCTGGAATTACACACATGTGCCACCTTGCCCAGCTAATTTTTTAGCCAGGCTGGTCTCAAACTCCTGGCCTCAAGTGATCCACCTGCCTTGGCCTCTCAAAGTGCTGGGATTACAGTTGTGAACCACCATGCCTCGTTTTTGTTCTTTATTTCTAAGCATTTTCTTCTTTTTGATGCTGTTATAAAGGGAATTGTTTCAATTTTATTTTCAGCTTGCTCATTGTAGCTATATACAAATAGAATTGGCCAGGCATCGTGGCTCACACCTGCAATCCTGGCACTTTGGGAGGCCAAGGCCGGACTATCACTTGAGCTCAGGAGTTTGAGACCAGCCTGGGCAACATAGTGAACCTTGTCTCTAATAAGCAAATAAATAAATAAATGATTGATTTTTGTGTATTGATCTTGATGAACTTGCTGATTAGTTATAATGGCATTTTACTGGATTCCCTAGGAATTTTATTCACAAGATTTGAATCTTGTGAATAAGATCGATGTCTGTATTCTTTGATGCTATTGTAAATGGAATTGTTTTACAGACCTACAAAACACTTGTAGCAAAAACTGCTAGGACTCAAATGAGGAATAGACAAGTTCATAACTACTTGGAAACTTCAATATTCCTTTCTTAGTAATCCAATAGTCAACAAATAATAAGGATATAGAAGACGTGAGCAACACTATCAGCCAATTTGATCTAATTGACATTTAGAACACTACCCAACAACAGCAGAATACACAGTTTATCCAAATTCACAAGGAGTATTCATCACTGTAAGCCATATTCTGAACCACAAAACAAACTTCAAAAAATTAAAAAATATTGGAATCATAAAATTGTTGAAATATCCAAGTATTTTCTTTGGCCACAATAGAATTAAATTATACATCTATAATACAAGGTTATCTGTTAAATCTTTCAATATTTGGAAATTAAACATCATACTTTAAAATAATCCAGTGGGTCAAGGAGGAAGTGACAAGGGAAATTAGGAATATTTTTTGAATTGAATGAAGATGAAAACACAACATATAAGAATGTGTAGGATACAACTAAAGCAGTATCTAGACAAAAGTGTATAGCATTAAATGCTTCTTAAAAAAAGGTCTCAAATAATCTAAGTCCCACCTTAAGAAACTATAAAAAAATGAGCAAATTAAACCAAATCAAGCAAAAGAAAAGTAATAAAAATAAGAGCACAAAACAATAAAATTTAAAACAGAAAACAGTAAGCAAAGCCAATGAAACCAAAAGCTGTTTTTTTTTTTTTCTTTTGAAAAGATCAATACATTGATAAACCTCTAGCCAGGCAGATCAAGACACAAATTAACAGTATCAGGAATAAATGTGGGGACTTCACTAGAGATCCTACATATTTTAAAAGGTAAGGGGAAATTATGAACACTTTTATGTCCATGAATTTAGAATTTTAGGTGAAATGTAGAAATTTCTTCAAAGTCTCAAACTACCAAAGCTCCCTCAAGAAAAAATAGATATACTCCTATGCCTATTAATTAAGTTCATAGTTTAAAATCTTCCAACAAAGAAAACTGCACTGAAGAATTCTACCAAGCATTTAAAGAAGATATAATACCAACTCTATACAAACTCATCCAGAAAGGAGGGCACAATTCCCAGTTTGTCTTATGAGACTATTATCCTGATACCAATAGGAGACAAAGACAATATATGAAACTGCAGACCAAGATTACTCATGAAAATAGATGCAAAACAAACAAGCCCATTCAAAAGTGGGCAAAGGATATGAACAGACACTTTACAAAACAAGACAAACATGAGGCCAATAAACATATGAAAAAATGCTCGCCATCACTGGTCATTAGAGAAATGCAAATCAAAACTACATTGAGATACCATCTCACGCCAGTTACAATGGCGATCATTAAAAAATCTGGAGACAACAGATGCTGGAGAGGATGTGGAGAAATAGGAACATTTTTACACTGTTGGTGGGAGTGTAAATTAGTTCAACCACTGTGGAAGACAGTGTGGCGATTCCTCAAGGACCTAGAAACAGAAATTCCATTTGACCCAGCAATCCCATTACTGGGTATATATCCAAAGGATTATAAATAGTTCTACTATAAGGACACATGCACACAAATGTTCATTGCAGCACAGTTTACAATAGCAAAGACCTGGAACCAACCCAAATGCCCATCGATGATAGACTGGACAGGGAAAATGTGGCACATATACACCATGGAATATTATGCAGCCATGAAAAACGATGAGTTTGTGTCCTTTGTAGGGACATGGATGAACCTGGAAACCATCATTCTCAGCAAACTGACACAAGAGCAGAAAATCAAACACCACATGTTCTACCTCATAGACGGGTGTTGAACATTGAGAACACATGGACACAGGGAGGGGAGCACTACACACTGGGGTCTGTTGGGGGAAATAGGGGAGGGACAGTGGGGGGTGGGGGGTGGGGAGTTGGGGAGAGATAGCATGGGGAGAAATGCCAGATATAGGTGATGGGGAGGAAGGCAGCAAATCACACTGCTACATGTGTACCTATGCAGCAATCTTGCATGTTCTTCAAATGTACCCCAAAACCTAAAGTGTAATAAAAAAAAAATAGATGCAAAACATCGACGCAGAAAGTAAATATAGTTGCTACCTTGGCAGAGTGGTATTGACTGGAACGGGGCACAAAGCAACCTTCTGTATTGTTGGAAGTGTTATCACCATCTTGGTAGTTTTACACGGGTTTGAACACGTAAAAATTCATCAAGCTGTTTAAGGTTAGAGCACTCCATTCAGTTTGTTGTATGTATGCTATACCTCAAAACATTTTAAAATGTTCAATCTACCAAGAAGGATGAGTGAAAACTGTCTCACGTAGTTTGTTGTATGACACCTGACATGAGATTATTTCTATGCTGATACCCGAGAAATCCTGTTGACTAATGAAACAGTTTGGAAACTCACCTCTATTCTGCTTAAAATAAAATCACGGTTAGTTTATGTAGCCACTGTATCTTCTTCTGGTTAACTCAGCCATTAGAGTGAGCACCAGCCCACTTGAAAGTTCACAAGAAGCAAGTAAACATTGGATTTGAATTAGAGTCAATAATAGCAGCAGGATTTTCTCAGGCTATTTAGAAGCATCATGGCAATTGTTTAAGAAAATATAGGTAGTTCTAGTGAATGCACTACAGAATGTTGGAAGTAGTGGTGAGCTTATTATATATTTCACAATGTTAGAATCAAATTTTAAAAACAAAAAATAAAATATTAGAATCTCTCTACAGCAGTTGAGGATGACCTTCAAATTGTAAGTAAAATTAATTTTCCTTGAAAGCAAAACCTCTCCAGTTAGTGAGATTACAACCAAAGAGAATAATAAAATATAATCACAAAGAATGTTGCATTTTTGCCTCTTTCTTAGGGGACTTCTCAAATGATTCATGTGAGAAATTGCTTCTGCTGTATGAGTTTGAAGTTAGAGCCAAATTGAATGATCCATCACTGGAAAGCTTCCTGGAACCAGTGTGGGAGCTGCCTCATTTAGAATGTAAAACATTTGAAACAATTGCAAGTAAGAGATATATTTATGCTTTTGTAAGCCTGGTGCCCATTTAGATCGTATCGTATGACTTTTTTTCTTTCTTCTCTTTATTCTTCTTTCTTACCTCCAGGTAGGAAGAAGTTTTTCTTCTTAGAACTTTGTTTCTCCTTCTCTAATGCCAGTCTTAGACTATTTTGTATTACAATCATTTGTGCATTTATCTTCTTCACTCTATGAGATTATAATCTCCTTAGGGTCATAAACAATAGTTATTTAATGTACTTACAAACCCTGACGAAGTTCATTGTTCCTAGTAGGTGATCAAATTTTTTCTGTGTGGAATTTAATTACGTAACTACATAATAAGGGGAGCTCAAACTTGAGAAAATTTTTCTGAGATAGCTAGAACTAACAGTGATTCAATGATCAAAAGTGATACAATCTCAGCAATTTGTTGAAATGTACAGAGAAATACTGGTAATATATATTTTTTAACACAACTGCCACTCTCAAATTTCAGGATGAACTTTAAGTGGGTTTAGGAACTTAGAGCCTTTTTGGGCATACACTGCAGGAAACAGCCTCATTATCTTCCCTTTTTATCCCACACCTTCTTCAGGAGTGTGAGTGTGGTTAATAAAAATATTAGGTAACTCCAAGTGCACAAGAATCACATTTGCCTTTCCTTGATCTTGCCAAGACATAATTCCTAGAGCCATGGAGCAGATGATATATACTTTATGGGAATGTGAAAATTACCAGTGCTCCTTGTGTAATGGAACTCCAATTCTAAAAATCTGTTAAATGCATCTGGAAGTCTTAGGGTTAGTTACCTCTGATACTCCCTTGTCAAGTGTTTCCTATTTTTAGTATCAGATAAAAATAGGACATTTTAGTACAAACCTGTTTTGATTAGTGCCCTTTTACTGATCTGCTTTCTATTTCCTTCTTAGTGTGTCCTTCCTTGACTCTCATTCATAAGATACTGCTTCACCTGTATGACTGTGTGCAAGGTCATAGAAACAATAGGTTTTCTGTTGATGTTTGCTGAAAAAAGGATGTTACCTGGTAATCCCACCATGCTGCTCTGCCAAGAAAGTAGAAGCTATTTACAAAACTGGTTGTAGATTCATCATTTATAAAATGTATTGTTGTTTGTTTGTTTTTTGTTCATCTGTTTCAGCCAAGTTTCATCAGAGAAAGCAAGTGGTAGCCTGGGATGAAAACTGTGATGGATGACATTATGATGTTCACAACCTTTTTCCTTTTCTTCCTCTAGTAATAGCAATGGAAACACCTGCACACTACCCTTCCATTGCTCTCAAGGCCTTGAAAAAGGCTTTATTGCTCTACAAAAAGGAAGAATCAATTGATATTTCACAATACAGGTGAGTAAATATAATTCAAAACTTAATCCAGTTTTTTGATAGCCAAAAGAACTATAGTCAATGTCTCATAAGTAACCAATCATTCTTAACGGACCCAACTTAAAAAATGACATGGGGATGATCTGAGGGCACTCTTGTGAACAGCTCCATACTGAGAGTTGTATTATAGACCAATAATTATTCAGCAAAGTCAAGGAGCTTGGGTTTCCGAAATGAGAATAAAAGGGGAAAAGTTTCTTCTTTGTGTGAATCTGTATATATAATAAAACTGCTAAGTACCTTTCTTTGTTTCATTACTAAATAATATTCCAAATGTATGGAAAAGTACAGAGGTTAATATAGCAAACACCAATGTATCCACCACCCGGATTTATTTGTTTTATTTTACAGATGGAGTCTCATGATTTTGCCCAGGCTGGATTTGAACTCCTGGGCTCAAATGATCCTCCTTCTCAGTTTCACGAGTACCTGCAATTACAGGCACACAGCACCCAAATTTAACAAATGTTAACATTTTCCTGTTTGCCTCATTTTTTAAGCACTTCGAGCACCAATAAGTGCTATAGAAAATATTATCTATTGGGGACTTTTTTGTTTTCTACGTCCAGACACAGGGAAAAATAGATGTTGTGTGACTTTTTTGTCTGGAAAACATCATTACAGTCTTCCTGTTTTAAGACATGAAAGACAGTTCTTGTGGAATCATTCCACTTTAAATGCCAGTTCCCTTGCCCATTTGAGGAAGTACCAAGATGATTTAAAATGCCTGTAAATTGAACCAGCTCATAAAATATAATAGACAGCCACAACTCCTTCGTGCAGGAAGCTAAAAAAAGAATGAAAGACAACCATAGGCATGAAAAAAGAAAGGATTGGTCAACCTGTTTTACGGCTTCAAAAATCTGTCTTCTGAGGTTGGAGGCCAGATACAATCAAGGGAAGAACAGAAGTGTTTTGAAGCTGTTAGTCTGGGATGAGATCCAGATTTTACTTATCTTAGCCATGAAGCCAATGATTTCTTTCCTTATGGGATGAGTTTTCTCTTTTTGATTTTTAGCAAATGTATGCACAACTTGATTAACCTCTCAGTGCCAGATGGGGCGTCGAGTATAGAGCTCTGTCCGCTGGAAGAAGTTTGGGGCTTTTTTGAAGATGCTCTGAGCCACATTAGCCGCACTGTAAGTCAAATAGTAATATTGAACTTTCGGTTAATTTTAAAGAACTGAACTGTCTTGTGTACTACAAATTATATACAATAATGCTTTCTGATATGAGTTTTAGGATAAATTCATATTATAATTTTGTAGTTACACACTACAGAATTTTCCTAGGTTTCTGAAATATTAATTGTTGAAAGTAGATATTTTCTAACACAAGTGTATTATGGATTAGGTCAAAATAGCAGTACTACCAGGCATTTTGAATTATTTTATATTTTCAAATCATGGTGGGATGATTACTTCCTCTGTGATGATATGAACCTTTTGAAAAGGTTATTGCTATTCCCATCCTTTCTCAGAGGCAGGTGATAGAGTAGAAGGGACATTGAAAACCTGTATTCTAGTCCCTCCTCTGCTGATTTCTTTTTCTTTTCCATGCAGGTTTATTCAGTGGTTTTAAAGTTAGCTTTCCTGAGGTATAATTTACATATCATAAAATTCACCCCTGGCTTGTGCACAATTCAGTAAATTTATGGAGTTGTGCAATTAACACTACAATCCATTTTTTTTTATTTAAAAAAATGTTTTTAATTTTTGTGGGTACATAGTGGTATATATATTTATGGGGTACATGAGATATTTTGGTACAGGCATATAATGCATAATAATCACATCAGGATAAATGGGTTATCCATCGCCTTAGGCATTTATCCTTTATGTTAAAAGCAATTCAATTATATTTTTAGTTTTTAAAAATGTACAGTTAAATTATTGTTGATTATAATCACCCTGTTGTGCTGTTAAGTACAGATCTTATTCATTCTAATTTTTGTACCCATTAACCATTCCCACATTTCCCCCTCCCCTCCTCTGGTAACCATCTTTATACTCTTTGTCTCCCCAACAGTTCAATTATTTTAATTTTTAGCTTTCACAAATAAGTGAGAACATGTGAAGTTTGTTTGTGTGTGTGTGTGTGTGTGTGTGTTGGGCTTATTTCATTCAACATACTGACCTCCAGTTCGATCCATGTTGTTGCAAGTGACTGGATCTCATTCTTTTTTATGGTTGAATAGTGTTCCGTTGTGTATAAGTACCACATTTTCTCTATCCATTCATCTGTTGATGGACACTTAGGTTGCTTCCAAATCTTAACTATTGTAAACAGTGCTACAACAAACATAGGAGTACAGATACCTCTTTAATATACTGATTTCCTTTCTTTGGGTATATACCCAGCAGTGGGATTGTTGGATCATATGGTAACTCAATTTTTAGTTTTTTAGGAACCTTCAAACTGTTCTCCATAGTGGTTGTACTAATTTATTTTCCAACAGTGTATGAGGGTTTCCTTTTCGCCACATCCTTACCAGCGTTTGCTATTGCCTGTCTTTTGGATATAAGCCATTTTAACTGGGGTGAGATGCTGTCTCATTATAGTTTTGATTTGCATTGCTCTGATGATCAGTGATAGCAAGTACCTTTTCATATGCCTGTTTAACATTTGTATGTCTTCTTTTGAGAACTGTCTCTTCAGATCTTTTGCTTATTTTAAAACTTGATTATTAGATTTTTTTCCCTATAGAATTGTTTGAACTCTGTATATATTCTGGTTATTAATCCCTTACCAGAGGGGTAGTATGCAATTATTTTCTCTCATTCTGTAGGTTGTCTCTTTGCTTTGTTGATTGTTTCCTTTGCTCTGCAGAAGCTTTTTAACTTAAGGTGATCCCATTTGTCCATTTTTGCTTTGGTTACCCATAATACCTTGTGGGGTATTGCTCAAGGAATCTTTGCCTACTCCAATATCCTGGAGAGTTTTCCTGATTTTCTTATAGTAGTTTCATAGTTTGAGGTGTTAGATTTAAGTCTTTAATTCATTTTGATTTGATCTTTGTATGAGACAAGACATAGGGATCAAGTTTCCTCCTTCTGCATATGGATATCCAGTTTTCCCAGAACCATTTATTGAAGAGACTCTCCTTTTCCCCAAAGTATGTTCTTGGCACCTTTGTCAAAAATGAGTTCACTGTAGATGTATGGATTTATTTCTGGGTTTACTATTCTGTTCCAGTGTTCAGCTGCCTGAAGCTGGAGGAGGGGTGATACAAGCACCCTTGTTACCACTACCACTGTGACTGTGCTGGTCAGACCTGAAGCCAGCACAGCACTGGGTTTCACCTAAGGCCCACTGTAACCACTACCTGGCTACCACCTATGTTTGCTCAAAGGCTTAGGGCTCTACAATCAGCAGGTAATGAAGCCAGCCTGGCTGTGTCCTTCCCTTCAGGGCAGCGACTTCTCCCTGGTCCCAGAGATGACATGCAGCAGCCAGGGCCTGGAGTCAGAAACCCTAGAAATCTACCTAGTGCTCTATTCTACTGCAACTTAGCTAGTACCCAAACCACAAGACAAAGTCCTTCCCACTCTTTCCTCTTTCTTCATGCAGAAGAGCCTCTCCCCGTGGCCACCACCACCAGGTGGTATGGGGAGTTCTGCCAGGCTACTGCCAGTATCCACTTAAGGCCCAAGGGCTCTGCAGTCAGCTTGTGGTGAATGCTGCCAGACCTGGGACTCATGATTCAGAGGAGTGAGCTCCTCTCTGGCCCAGGGCAGATACAGAAATGCCATCCAAGAGCCGAGGCCTGGAACCGGGGACCCCAGGAACCCACTTGGTTCTCTACCCAACTGTATCTACGCTGCAATATAAAGTCCCCTTTTCTTAAGCAGAAGGAGTCTCTCCTCATAGCCATCATAGCTGGGAATGTACTGGGTCACACCTGAAGCCAGCATGTCTCAGAATGTCACCTAAGGCCCACAGTATGTACTACCTGGCTACTGCTGCTGATCATTGAGGGCCAAAGTGCTATTTATTCAGTGGGTAATGAACCTTGTCAGGACTGGGTCCTTCCCTTCAAGGCAGTGGGTTCCCTTCTGGCCCAAGGTATGTCTCAAAATGTTATCTGGGAACTAGGGCCTGGAATGGGGTCCTCATGACTCTGCCAAGTGCCCTGTTCTACTGTGGCTGAGCTGGTATCCAAGATGCAAGACAAAGGCCTCTTTATTCTTCCCTCTCCTCTCCTCTAGTGGAAGGAAGGGGTCTCTTTGGGAGCTGCAAATTGCACTGCCTGGGGTTGAAGGAGGGGTGGTGCAATCACTCCCTTGACTGCCCTGGCTAGTCTCTCACACACCCCACCCCCAGCCCCAGATACACTGGCTCCAAGCGCAGCACAGCTCTAGGACTTGCCCAGGAGTTGCAGTCCTTGTGGCCTAGGCTGCCTCTCAAATTTATTTGGAACACCAGAGCACTTTAGCTCTCAGTGGCAAGGCTTGTTACAATTCAAGTTCCAACCACTGAGATGGACAATTGCTCTCTCGCTAAGGCTGGTCTAAATACTCCCTCCATGGGCATCAGCCTTGTTCTGCCCAGTGTTGCTTTCTGCTGTGACAGGGCAGCACTTAGTTCCAAGCAAGGTCCTACAATCACTGTGCTCTCCCTTCCCCAAGCACACAGATTCGCCATCACATGCATAGGAGAATGGTGGCATTGGCAATTCAAGATTGTCTTTCCTACTCTCTTCAGTGGCTCTTTCAGCGATATGAAGTTAAAACCAGGTGCTGTGATCACTTACCTGATTTTTTATTCTTCTTTTTTGTGTAGATAGTTGTTAAATTTGGTGTTCCTACAGGGAGGATGATTGGTGGAGGCTTCTATTCAGCCATCTTGCTCTATCCTTCCTCCCACAATCCAGTTGTAGAACATTCCCATTACCCTAGAAAATTTCCCCTTGCCCATTTGCAAACAGTCCTTGCTCCCACTTTCAGCTCCAGTCAACCACAGATCCACTTTCTATCTCTGTAGATTTTCTCTTTCTGGACGCTCATATAAATGGAATTATATAATGCGTATCCTCTTGTGTCGGGCTTATTTCATTGAGCATAACATTTTTGAGGTTCATCCATGTTGTGACATTATCAGTATTCCATTGCTTTTTTGTTTGCTGAATAATATTCTAGTGAATGGATGTAACACACTTTGTTTATCCATTCATCAGTTGATACATATTTGAGTTGTTTCCACTTTTTGGCTATTATGAATAATGCAACTGTAAACATTCATGTACAAGTGTTTTTGTGGACATATGTGTTTAATTCTCTTGAATATATACCTAAGAGTGAAATTCTTGGGTCATCTGGTAATGCTATGTTTAACTTTTGGAGGCGCTTCAGTCTGTTTTCCAAAGTGGCCATACCATTTTACTTTTCTACTAGCAATGTATGAGTATTCCAATTTCTCTACATTCTCATCACTTTTTATTGTTCATCTTTTCTTTTTTTGTTATAGCCATCCCAGTGGGTGTGGAGTGGTAGCTCATTGTGGTTTTGATTTATATTTCCTTGATGGCTAATGGTGTTGATCATTTTTTTCATGTACTTATTGACTGTTTGCATGTTGTGTTTGTATAAATGTCTATTCAATTATTTTACCATTTTTAAAATGGGATTTTTTATTGAGCTGTAAGAGTTCTTTATGTTTTCTGGATACAAGTCCTTTATCAGATATATTATTTGTAAGTATTTTCTCCTAGTCTCTGGCTTATCTTTTCATTTTCTTAAGGGCATCATTTGAAGAATCAAAGGTTTTAATTTTGATTAAGTCCAATTTATCAATTTTTTTGTGGGTCGTGTTTTTTATCATGCTGAGAAATCTTTGCCCAACCCATTTAGAAAGATATTTTCCTATGAGTTTTTGTAGAAGTTTTCTACTTTTATCTCTGACATGTAGCTCTATGAATCATTTTAAATATTGTTATAGTGTGAGGTAAGGGTCTAAAAGATTTTTTTGTTTGTTTACTGTTGCATATGGGTATCACTCCTCTGCTGTTTGACTTCACTTTTCTCATTTGTAAAATTGGAATAATACCTGATCTGACTCTCCTACACTGGGGTTGTAAGGATTGATAGAATTAATGTATGTTTTGTAAACTTTAACAGCTCATACACATGTTAGTATTGTT